GTCTGCTGTTGTTGATACTGAGTCTATAGGAAGCTGCGTTAAAACCTCAAGTCTTGTTACTTGCAATAATCTTGTGTCTAGCCTTAAGAACAAATCCACATACTATCTTAAGGATAGCAATACCAAAAATAGCAGTAATAAAATAACTAGTGAATCTGTTTTGAACAATTGTAATTCTATTACCTTCAATAAAGATGGTTCTGCTTTGACACATTGTACTAGTATTTCTGATATATCTGCTATTAATGTATCATCAAATACTGCTCATGATAATTGTTTTAAAACTACTAAAGTTAATCATTTTGCTGTTGTTAATAATGATTCTGATATACCTGATGCATCTTGTTCTACTATTGTTGACAATGATTCTCATATACCTACTGTTGTTGATAATGATTTTGATATACTTTATGTATCTTATTCTGCTATTGTTGGTAATGATTCTCTTATTCCTGAAGCATCAGCATATTGTTTCCATGTGCCTGGTGTTGCTAAAGCTAATGGTTCTGCTATGATTGACAGTAATTCTGATATGTCTGATGCATCAGCATGTACTGTCAATATTCCCTTACATACTATCTCTGATTATGGTTCTCATGTATCTGATATTGCAACTTCATTAAATACAAATCATGATGAAATATACAGAAATCAATTGTCTGATGTAGATGCATCTATTTCTACTACTTCTAACTTTAAGTCCAACATCACTGACTGCCCATCCTTAACATTACAAGCTGTTAGCAACAAAGAAACTATTTCCTCACTTTGGCACAATCGTCTAGGTCATCCACACTCAATAGTTTTTAATAAAATCATGCGTCAAGTGCACTCAAATTCATCACAAACCATTCCAGCCCTATCCTTTTGTGATGCCTGCCAACTTGGTAAAGTACATAGAAACCATTTTCCTATCTCTAATTCTAGAGCCACTAAACCATTAGAATTGATTCATATTGATATATGGGGTCTTGCTCCAATTGCATCTTTAGAAGGGTTCAAATACTATATCCATTTCCTAGACGATCATAGCCGATTTACATGGTTATTTCCTTTAAGAACCAAGGCTGAAGTGCAATCTATCTTTATCAAATTCCATCACTTAGCCGAGAGACAATTTCAACATAAAATCCATTGTTTACAATCTGATCAAGGGGGTGAGCATAGAGGTTTAGTGCCTTACTTAACAAAATCAGGAATCCAGTTCAGGTACTCGTGTGCTCATGTGCATCAACAAAATGGACGTAGTGAAAGGAAGCATATACACTTAGTAGAGACATGTTTAACCTTGCTAGCACATGCATCCATGCCTATGCATCTCTGGTGGTTTGCGTTTGACACTATTGCTTTTCTAATAAATAGAATGTCTACTGCTATTTTGGATTTTATTTCACCATATCAGGTGCTGTTTGGTAGACTACCCCTGTACAATTCTTTAAAGTCTTTGGGTCAGTTTGCTTCCCTTATTTGAGAGATTATAATCAACATAAACTTAGCTTTCACTCTTCAAAGTGTGTGTTTGTAGGATACAACCTAATTCACAAAGGTTATAAGTGTCTAAGTGTTGAAGGAAAAATTTACATTATTCCTAATGTTAAATTTCATGAAATATAGTTTCCTTTTAAGTATGGTTTTGGTTAGCCTAATACTTTAGCTCCTAGAGAATCATATTTCAATGAGTTACACACTAACTTTCCCTATTCTAAAGTTCAACCACCTGTTGTGTCCAGCAAAAAAGTCTCTCCAGCTGAACTGAGCTCTCAAGTTAGTCCTCCTTCAACAATTGGAGTATCAAATTCTATCTCACCATTACCATCCTATAAGTCTGCCCTTGCTCCTGAAAACATATCTAATTTACGTACTGATTCCTCTCCAAATCCTTTAAATCAGTACCTGGTTCATCAAATCCAATATCCAATTCACCCACTGATTCCTCTCCAAATCTTTTAAACTCAGTACCTGGTTCATCAAATCCAGTGTCCAATCCTCAAAATCCCTCACTTGAACTAATACCTCCTCCCTATAAGTAGCCTAATTCCAAAACCTCAAACCATACACTTGAAATAGATCTGACCTCTTATCCACCTCTTAATCCTCTTGTTACTTCTCAATCATCCTCTGCTCAAGATCTTACTCACTGCCCACTTGTAGTTGACTTGGCACCCTCACAGTTTCTCACTACATCAACTGATCAGCCTCTAAATATAAACACACATCCCATGTTAATAAGGTCCAAAACCAATTCTTCGGTTACCCTTAACCATTTAGGAAAAACTGCACTCATTTTATCTGGCAACACACCTGTCCTCCCTAAACCCCATTCTGTAAAAGAGGCATTATCTACTGTTGAGTGGAAATAAGCTATGCAAAGGGAATTTGATGCCCTAATGAAAAACAACACTTGGATTTTGGTACCAAGAACTAATGACATGCATGTAGTTAGGAATAAATGGGTGTTTAGGACCAAGTTTCATGCTGATGGTTCTTTGCAAAAATACAAAGCTAGATTGGTTGCTAAAGGGTTTCAATAAACACCTGGGTTGGACTATTTTGAAACATTTAGTCTTATAGTTAAACCTTCCACCATTAGGATCATTCTCACCCTTGCTGTAACTAATGGTTGGGACATCCAACAAGTAGATGTGGATAATGCATTTCTTAATGGTACTTTGAATGAGTTTGTCTACATGCAGCAACCTGATGGATTTGAAAATGATGTTGTTCCCTCTTATGTTTGCAAATTAAACAAGGCTCTTTATGGTCTAAAACAGACTCCTAGAGCTTGGTTTGACAAGCTGAAGTTTGCACTTATTGCCAAAGGATTTCAGAATTCTATTTCTGATTCTAGTTTGTTCATTTGCAAAAATTCTGATCATGTTACATGTATTCTTATATATGTGGATGACATTTTGATTACTAGATCCAACTCTTCATCCATACATTAGCTTGTTCAAGAATTGAATGATCAATTTGCTTTAAAGACACTTGGTTCTATCAAATACTTCTTGGGGTTAGAAGCTACAAGAGCACCTGCTGGTATTAACTTAAAACAGACTAAGTATATTGTTGATTTACTTGTCAAGACACAAATGTTGGATTCTCATGCATGTTCTACCCCAATGGTTGTTGGTACAGAGCTCTATTCTACAAATAGCCCTTTGTTCAAAGACCCTAGTCTTTATAGGAGCACCATAGGAGCACCATAGGAGCTCTTCAATACCTTACCCTTACTAGACCTGATATAAGCTTTGTAGTAAACAAACTAAGTCAGTACCTTCAAGCTCCTACTGAGCTCCAATGGCAGGCTTGCAAAAGGGTTTTAAGGTATATAAAAGGCACTCAATACTATGGACTATAGTTCATGCCAGTAGCATCTCTTAGCATTGAATGCTATGCTAATGCGGATTGGGGTAGTAGTTTGGATGACCGAAGGTCTACAAGTGAGTATTGTGTGTTCTTTGGTCCTAATCTAATTCAATGGAGCTCAAGAAAACAGAAGGTGGTTGCTCTTTCATCAACCGAAGCTGAGTATAGGGCATTAGCTAACACAGCCACTGAAATTGCATGGATGTAGAGCATGTTTTCAGAGTTAGGATTGAACCTGAAAACTCCTCCCGTTATTTGGTGTGATAATGTGAGTGCGGGTGCTCTTGCCGTAAATTATATTTTCCATGCACGGACCAAACACATTGAAATTGATGTTCACTACATTAGGGATCAAGTTCTTGCAAAGAAGATTGCAGTTCAGTATGTATCATCTTAGCTACAAATAGCATATGTGCTAACCAAGGCTCTATCAGTAACTCAATTTCAACAACTGAGACAGAAATTGAATGTTCTTGCCATGCCTTTGCTGATTTAAAAATGACTGCAAAGGTTAAGCATTAGCAAATCTGTTAACACCACAGTTGAATAGCATATTAGTAGTCATAATTCGAAGCTGAACAAAAGATCAGTTGTTATGGTGTTGTTAATGCAAAATTTTTATGCAGTTTTGATGTGGTGATGCAGAAGTAATGCAGCAGATCAGTTGTTATGGTGTTGTTAATGCAGAATTTTTATGCAGTTTTTGATGTGGTGATGCAGAAGTAATGTAGCAGATTAGTTATTATGGTGATGTTAATGCTGAATTTTTATGCAGTTTTTGATGATGTAGAAGTAATGCAGCAAATAAGTTGTTATGGTGTTGTTAATGCAGATTTTATGCAGTTTTGGTGGTGCAAAAAAATAATGCAGCAGATCAAAAGTAATGAAGTAGTTTTGGAGAATTTTTTTTTGGAGAAGAGCAGTAAGAGAAGTCAATTTCTTTACTGATAGAAAGTAAAATCAGTTTAGTTTGCAGGGAAATGTTGAAGATATAATGGAGCAGAGTAGCAACTTAAGAGTAGTAAGAGGAGTCATTTTCTTTACTAATAGAAAGTAAAATCAGTTTAGTTTGCGGGGAAATGTTAAAGATATAATGGAAAGAGAAGCAGCTTAGCTTTAGGGAAAGTGTTGACCAAAGATTCATGGTGCTAACTGCAAGTTCTTAAAATGAGAGGACCTGACTTGAGTTTCACAAACGATGTCGTTTTACTTTGTATGTAACTTCTTCTTGTCGAACGATTACTCAGTGTTTGTTAGCTGCTGCAACTTTACTCTTTTCACACTTTCTTCACTTGTTTCATTCAAGTATAAAAGCAGCCAATGTATTGTAACAAGTTAGTTAATCAAATACAAAGAATCATTCAGCTAGAATCAAGTTTTATCTTTCTTTTCTTTCAATTTTACAATATTTACAAAGCTAAGCTGCAAGTTGCAAATTAAAATAGAATTGTAACTTCTTATAACTACTTGCTGACAACATATAATAACTATATCAAAATTTAACTTATTCAAGCTCTCATTCTCCACGCGAGTACTTATTCTGAGCTGACTTTTCGACTTGCTGTTAAGCTGATCTTCACACCGCTGCCGTTTGAGTTAAGTTGCGCCAGAAGGCCCGAACTATATTCTAAGCTTTACATTTTCGTACCCTTACTAACAGGAACCGTGTGGCGGATTGACCAGAAAGAATTACGACAGCGCCGGTAACATCTTCGGCGTACATACCCAAAGTACATGTATTTTGCCTTAAGCCAGTTCCAAAATTTATCCTCGAAAAGAAAACTTCTTTTAAACATTAAACGCACAACATCAAACAGGAGTGGACAGCTTTGCTTCGCTAACTCGATGACAGGTAAAGAAGCAATCAAACAAAGAAGAACACGAACCCAAATTTTTTCAACTTTGAAGACAATGAACACAGTTGTAACAAAAACTGCCATCATTGCTGCTATTGATAACAAAAGTGTTACGAGTCCCATCACCAACTTTTTAGGCAGCTTGGAAAGAAAATCTTCTTCGGCATAACGAGAAGTAAGAATAGATAAGAAGGTTAGGATTGAATAAACGGATAATACCAGAGATATTGCATCTGATATGACAAAAATTTTGAAAGAAAGTTTGTGAGCAAAATGAGGCGTCCCCGACTCTTCTTTGATACCACCAGGTACTGTGAAAGCTGCAGCAAAAACCACAGTGGCAATAAGGGTTGCCACAATCATGCATGAATTTGCAGTATCCTTCATCCATTTCTCCCCCTTTTCCTTCAACTGTTTGTGCTCCTCACTAAATAAAGCTTTAGGAGTTTGACTTTTTTCATTTTTAGCTTCCGCAACCAATGGATTCACAATCTTATTCACTTCTATATTTAATGTTATTAAACATATTATCAATTAATGAAAAAAAAATTGTTTTCTGTAAAAGAAACAAAAAGTGTTGTTAATTTACCTGAAACCATAATAACTCCTGCTGCAGCTGAAAAGCTACTCCTGAAATAGTATCGAGCTTATCTGATGGAGGCGACATTCCAGCGTAATGCAAGATATTGTTACCCGCGTCATCTTTGTACTGGTGTACTTTTTGAAGTAATTTTCTCTGAAATCGTGGGCGTACATTTTTTTTGAGCAGTTTGAAGATATCCTTCCGACGTTTCCAAACAGCATTACAAAATATTCGGCCACATGTATCTGTATCTCCGTCAACTTTGCATATCAACTCTGGATAATGACAAATAATCATGCTTAAAAGTTCGATGTTGTCTTGTGCGACAGCAACATTTATTACTTCATCAATCCAGGTGTCACCATAATCTACATTTTTCAAAAGGAGATGGAGTAGTTCCTTTGTTTGTGGGGATAGCTTTTCATGGGCGGGCAACTTGTCGCTATCGGAAACTGCTGTTGTAAAATTGATAACAGCAACAAATGTTGGAACTAAAATTCAAAGATGGAGAGAATCAAAAGAAACTTAGAAGGTGTTAAAGATTTAAGAGAATAACATATGTTGAAGTATCTCTTCAAAATTCCTTGCTGATTTTGATTGGCTAAGTTAGGAGGCATCATAGGTGTTCCAGCCAAGATATGCAATGCTGTCTCCCTCCTCCACTCATACCCTAAATTATCCATGGCTAATTTTGGGTGTTCCTTTAGCAACTGCAGCGCCTCATCTAGGAAACAACAACCAATTAATATCATGAATAATAAATATAGAAGGGAATTGTAAAAATATTAGGAGAAAATGAAATTTTGGCGTTTTTAATATATTGTAAAATAAAAAATAAATTTATTTTGTATAATAGGTAGTACTTGTGCTTATTAATAATTTTTGTTTTGATATCAATAAATTTTATTAAAATTGGTTAGGAAAAGTGGTTTGTTGGGCTTATATGGACATATGCTCAGTCTACTCATATATACGTGTCAAAGATACATGCTATAATTCCAACTATAACCTTCTTGGTAAAAGTAAAGTAAATATCAGGAATAGTGCATTATGCTTACCAAACAAATCAGCTCTACTGATGAGATTGCGAATCAATTCGATGCGATCCTTTTCTGTTAATTCATCTTTGGTGACTTCGTAAAGGTACTCCACCATATCTTTGTGGCCGTGCTCAGCTGCAACGTGAATTGGTAACATATCCTCGGATACTTGGTAACTTTTCATTCCTTTTAAACATTAAGATGGCAAGTCCCACCCATGGGGATGCAGCAAGAAGACAAAAAGCAATATAGCCATCACCATTTTGAGTAGCCAAATCTTCTTTGGTCATATACTTCACCAGTTGTCGGACAACCATATGAGAATCTGCCGTAGCTGCAATGTGAAGAGCGTTGTTGTCGTTTTCTGATATACTAATAGTTAAATATTTTGAAATTTTACCTGGATCTCTATTAAAAATATTCCAATCATATGTGAGCCATTCATTACTCAATGCAGTCCTATACAATTTCTTTATGTCTTCATTTATTCCACGATCATCTAAAGGTAAAACACAAACAAATTTTATATATAAAAACTAATTCATTCAAACTGGTTTTGATGTAAATTTAATTTACGAACTATTAAAATTATAAACTATCTATACAAAATTAATTTACACAAAGTGTCAAGCTAATATCACCTTTATAATAAATAAATCAGTTGATTAACCATGATCAAATGCTAATGAACCTTTAGAAGGGCGCTTAATATTAACAAAATAAAAATTTCTGAAACTAATAAAGCTATAGAAGACTGGGGTATGAAAAAAGAGAAATACAAGAACGGAAACGAAAACAAAACGACAAATCTCGGGAGGGTTTCTGACTTCTCTAGCAATCATAGCTAAAATTGCAAGTTATAGATTGTTGGTCAAAGGACGAAAGTGCAAAAGAGCCAAAGTAGCAAGGGAAAATGTAATTCTGCAAACGATGTCGTTTTATGTTTTATAAAACAAACAGTTGTAAAACGCAGCACTTTAGTCTCTCTTACATTGTACTTGTATAAAAGAGTAAAGTTTACTCTTCACTGTATATAGAAAATATCAGTTCGTCAGTAAAGAAAATTCAAACAGTTTCTCTCAATTCGTTCTTGATTCGCAAACCCTAAGCTAATTTCACATGGTATCAGAGCACTGANGGTAGATGAATAGTTTCATGGAACTATTTAGGCTTATTATATATTTTTCAAATTACTTTTGTTTCAAGCAAACAAAACATATAGAGGCTAAGAATTTATGCTTTTTTGCTTGTACTAAATATTTAAGATGATATAGAAGATATCAATTATAAGGAAAAAAAGTGTGTAACTTCTTTGTAATAAGAATTAATATCTAATAGAAAACAAGACCAAAATTGCATAATAGGAGATTATATAAATTGATGAAGCTGTGGAGGTTTGTGTTAGATTTGTCGACCACTTCAACCATAAGAGTGTTGGTCAAAGGACAAAAGTACAAAAGAGCCAAGTAACAGGAGTAAAATGTAATTCTGCAAACGGTGTCATTTCTGTTTTATAATAAAAACAGTTGTAAAAACGCAGCACTTTGACCTTCTCTTACATTTCGGTTTTTTTTATAAAAGAGTAAAGTTTACTCTTCACTGTAACTACTGAAATCAGTTTACCAGTAAAGAAAATTCAAACACTTTTTCTCTCCATTTTTTGCTTATTCGCAAACCCTAAGCTAAATTGACATGGTATCAGAGTACTGACTAACGTCAAATGGCCTCAGATCCTACTCACTCTCAGTTGCTTAACAGCACCGGGAAGATGATGTCTAAAGAACAAAATCGAACTATGCAGTTCTTACCTCGAGCTTGCAAGTAATCAATCCCAAGCTAACGAGGAACAACTATCGGTTTTGGAGCTCTCAGGTTCTCTTTGCCGTTGGCTCACATGAGCTGGAAGATCACCTGTTAGGTAGAGTGCCTTGTCCTTCTCCAATTCTGATTAATGACTCTGAGGTAGAACTTAGTAATAATACTATTGGAGACAGCTTAAATCCAACTTATGTTTTGTGGAAAAAGACTGATAAATGCTTAGTGAGTTGGTTACTAGCTTCAATTAGTGAAAGCATGTTCTGTGTTGTGCTAAATGTAGATTTTCAAATGAAATTTGGTTAGCCTTAGAAAATGAGCTTGTTACAGACTCAAAAGCTAGAGCCTTACATTTGAAAAATTTGCTTCAAACAACTCATAAAGGAGGATTGAGTATTAGTGACTATGTGAAGAAAATGAAAGAGACTGTAGAAAGCTTAGCTGCAAGTGGATTGATAATCTTTGATGGAGATTTATTACAGTATGTGTTAGATGGTCTAGGGCCTGAATATGATCCAGTCGTAATGACACTCACTTCTAGACTAGAATCGAAAGTTGATACTGTAACTCTTCAAGAGGCACAATTTTTGTTGTAGAAATATGAAATATGGCTTGAAAAGTTTAATTCCACAGACTTGTACAACACTTCAGCAAATATAGCCTCTGTAACCAGTCATGAATGTTACAATGTGTCCGGTATCAGTTCACCAGTAAGTGGTACTGTCAAAACTGCAGATAACCTGAGTGGTACCATACCCTCTTTAATGTCTCTTGGGAAGCCACATACCTCACAAAACTATGTTACCTTACCCTCCTATGTTAACTCACCTACTCAGTCTCCTGTCTCACCTGTTCAGCCTTTATTCTCTGCCTACAATACTACCACACAACCTTATTCTCCTGGTCCAGTTGCTAATTCCTCTTTACCTTACAACACTATGCCATTTAACCCTAGATCTTCCAGTTTTAACACTTACAGAAGAGGCAAAGGTAGAGACACTGGCAGGGGAAGAATTATTTGTGAAGTGTGGAATAAAGCCGGACATTCAGCCATCCAATGTTATCATCGATATAACTCAACGTACAATGGTACTTTTCAAACTGGCAATGGAAACTTTCCTAGCCTCTCATTTACAGATCCAGTACCACAACACCATTTCAACACTTATCCTACTGAACCAGTACAGTATTCTCCTATTGGTACCTTACAGCAGCATCCTGATAGTAAATTTCAAACACAGCACCTGCATTATAACCCACAACAGTCACAGTACAATCAATCCCAGCAATAATATTATCCTCCACAACAGTCATAGTACACTGGCAATCTTAAGAATAATGTCAGTTCTTCAGCAACATTTGGAGTTCCTAGTCACTAGATGGGAGCCAATAGTCAAGCAAATCTGGTTCATACTGGTGGTACCTCATTGGGGTATCCTAGAAGCAATGCTTTTCCAGCTCAGAACTGCACAACACTGTACAATAATTCACATGCCTCTATCACCACTCCAATTGATCCAGCATGGTATATGGACTCCGGGGCAACAAATCATGTCACTTCCAACCTATCTCAGCTGAGCACTAGTAAGAACTATGAAGGTGAGGATAAGCTTCAGGTTGGCAATGGTGAGTACCTTCTCATTTCCCATACTGGTCACTCCTTTATTCCTAGTAGTCTTCATTCTAAGTGTCTTTATCTTAAAAACATACTGTGTGTTCCTAAAATCACAAAAAATCTGCTAAGTATTTCTAAGTTTACAAGGGATAATAATGTTGTTGTTGAGTTTGATGCTAACTCTTGTGTTGTTAAGGACAAGTCAACCAAGGCTATGTTACTACAAGGGGGTCTTAAAGAAGGACTTTATCAACTGGAAATTCCAACAAACACCACTGATCTGTTAAAACCATGTGTCTCTTCTTATCAATCTGATCTGAATACCGCTTATACGTCACCAAACCTGGCAGCCATTGCACATTTTATAAGTCTTTCAACCAAAGACTCCTCTCAATACTTCCATAAACCTGTGACCAACAACCAACATCTAGAGTTAATTGAAAAAGTCAATAAAAACTCTGATGTAGTTTCGAATGTTAGCTATAATAAAGGTTCTGTTTCTGAAGTACAATGTAATGGTTTTTGTTCTAGAAATGAGTCAAAATGTATTTCTGTTGAACCTAATGTCTGTCATACTATTACTACTAATGAAATACATAATGATGAATTCTTGTTTGAGCCTACTGCTTCAATGGTTGAGAATAATACTGCTATTGCGTCAATGAGTGAAAATAATACTGCAAACTGTTATGTTAATGAAAAATTGTCTGCTGATTGTCTTGTTAGTGAACAATTATCTGCTGTTAATTGCCCTGTTCATGAACAATTGTCTGCTAAAATTTTTTACACTGCTGGTTCCACACCAAATTGCTTGACTGTTGACAAAGACTCATATCAACACATGATTTGGCATAAAAGATTGGGTCATCCCAACTCAACTACATTGCATAAAATCTTATCAACACTTCCCAAATCTATTTCTCTTACTGAAAACCAAAGTCTGCCTATCAAAGTGTCTAATTTCTGTGATGCTTGTCAGCTAGGAAAGTTACATCAAAATAGTTTTCCCTTGTCTCAATCTCATGCTACAGAACCTTTAGCTCTAGTTCATAGTGATGCGTGGGGTCCTACCCCAATTGTTAGTGAACGACCCAGTTACGCAGCGGAAAACAAAAACATAAACTCTATGGATCGTTCCTTAGTAGGGATGGGCACGGGCCGGGGCGGGGCCGGGGACCACTGTCTCCGGCCCAGGCCCGAAAGCCCGAGGGGATTCCCCAATCCCGGCCCGAAGCCTGTTCGGGGAATCCCCGAAAAAAGCTCGTTCCCTAAACGGGGAATTCGGGGATTCCCCGTTTGGGTTTTCTTTTTAATCCTTAATTTTATACTTTTATTATTCTTTTCTCCCAATTATATATACCAACCAAAAAAGAAATTAAATATATAATATACATATTAAACATAAAGACTATATATCATCAAAAAAAAAAAAAAAAAAAAAAAATTAAATCTATAATGTGCATATTAAATATAAAAACCATCATACTAAAGTGATCATATTAAATATATAATGTATAATGTTAAATGTATACCATATATAATGTCAAATGTATAACTTTTGTTTCATAGTATTATATATATATATAACAAATATTTATAATGATTTATTATATTTAATCTAGTTTTATTTATTACCTATTTGTATATAGTTTCATAAAATACTTACGCAATTATAATTTGTTATTATATAATGTATAATTGATTTTCAAATATTTATAATGTATATA